CCCCTATTTTGAGTCACCCCGACGCTTCATTACCTTACGTTCTGGAGGTAGATGCTTTGGAAAATGCGGTAGGAGCTATTCTGTCGAAAAGAATAGGAGTGAAGGAGCTTATGCACCCAGTGGCTTTCTTTTCCAGAAAACTCTCCCCATCAGAAAAGAATTACGATATCGGGGATCGGGAGTTGTTAGCGATTAAGACAGCACTGGAGGAATGGAGATATCTATTGGAAGGGGCATTGCATCCCATCCTGGTCTATACTGACCATAAAAATCTAGAATATCTGAGGACAGCAAAATGCCTCAGGCCGCGTCAGGCCAGATGGGCATTGTTCTTCTCAAGGTTTACTCTGCACATCACGTATCGACCCGGATCTAAGAATACTAAACCGGATGCTCTCTCCCGGATGTTTGTGGAGCCCGGGGAGACAGCCAAACCTGATACTATTCTGCCGGCGAGTAGCTTTTTGCTACTTCAGTCCGAACTCCTAACCAGACTTCAAGCTGCTTCCACGGGGACTCCTAGGCCACCTGGAGTCTCCTTGCAGAACAAGGAAGGTCTTTTTGTGGAATGGGGAGAGCAGATCCTGGTACCCGACGAGACGTGAGCTCTGGTCTTAGGCTATTGCCATGACCACCCGTTAGCAGGCCACTTTGGGGTACACAGGACATTGGACTTGCTCCAATGCATGTTTTGGTGGCCAAGCATGGCCAAAGATTGCGAAAGGTATGTCAAATCCTGTGCCGTCTGCAGCAGGAACAAGCCCTCCAGAGACAAGGCTTGGGGCCTGCTGCGACCACTGCCGGTGCCTGACAGACCTTGGAGTATGATCACAATGGATTTCGTGGTGGAATTACCGCCATCACAAGACCATACTGCGATTTTTGTAGTGGTAGATCGGTTGTCCAAGATGGCTCACTTCCTTCCATTGAGAGGTACACCATCTGCTTAGGAACGGCACAGGTATTTATCAGAGAGATTGTAAGGCTACATGGAGTGCCAAAAAACATTGTATCTGATTGGGGTGTTCAGTTCACTTCAAGGTTTTGGAGGGCTTTGTGCGAAGGGTTGGAAATTGAACTTTCATTCTCCTCAGCATACCACCCCCAAACAAATGGTCAAACTGAGCGAACCAACCAGACACTAGAACAGTACCTTAGGTGCTATACATCGTTCCTCCAGGACAACTGGCTGGCACTTTTACCCCTAGTGGAATTTGCATACAATAATGCTTGCCACTCTGCCACTAAGCAATCCCCGTTCTTCGCCAACTATGGCTTCCATCCCTCGTTCTTACCTGATTTGATCCCGGAAAAACCAGTCCCAGCAGCTCAAGAGACCCTGAATTTCTTTACAACCAATAACAAGTTATTACAAGAAACCATGGCAAAAGCCCAGGAGGACAGTAAAAGGATATTTGATAGAAAGAGAAGGGGGGTAATTGGTTATACATCCAGGGGACCAGGTGTGGCTGGCCACTACCAATCTGAAACTAGCGTGCCCATCGAGAAAGGTGGCACCCAAATTTGTGGGTCCTTTCCGGGTAGAGCGTAAGGTTAATGAGGTAGCATATAAGCTGGCACTCCCCGAGTCCTTCAAAATCCATCCTGTGTTTCATGTGTCCCTACTGAAACCCGCTGTAGCAGATCCTTTTACAGATCGTAGATCTAGACCCCCAGAGGCCATAGACATCGATGGGGAAGAGGAATTCGAGGTGGAGGCTATTATTGACTGCAGGCGGAGGGGGGGGGGGGCAAACGCAGTATCTCATCAAGTGGAAAGGCTATGGGCCAGAGGAAAACTCTTGGGAACCTGCTCGAAAAGTTCATGCTTCTCGGTTAATTCGGGAGTTCCTTCACAACCAGCCTCAAAGGAGAAAACCGGTTGGGCATCCGGAGGCAGCCCGTAAGGGGGGGGGCAATGTCAGGGAATGGTAAGATCGCTGCGGCGATCGAATCCGCACATGAGTAGAATCCTGACAAAACGTACAGGCAGGCGGGCACTAGGACCCAGGTGCGCCTGTCACCAATGACGGTGCTGGGCAAGCACTAGGACCCAGGAGTGCCTGTCAGGAGTCGGGTGGGGCTATTTAAACCCAGCTCTTGTAATGCTCAAGTGCCGTATGGTCTTTCCTGTGTTCCTGTGAGTTTACTTTGCTACTGACCCTGCCTGATCCTGATCTGCTGACTTCTCCTGCTTCTCCATCCCCACCATCAGGGGCTCTGGTGAACAAGCAGGTCGGAACTTAGATTCCACTCCCTGGGGAATTCTGGTCTGTGGAACGCTAGAGGCTACCACCGGCTGGTCCCTAACACCAGCCTTTTCCACTGCCAGCCTGCTCTGCTACCAGCCTGACCCACTGTGACGTCTGCCCCCTGCCAGCCTGCTCTGCCGCCAGCCAGTCCAGCTGTCCCATTTGCCAGTGAAGTGCCAACAATTCCTGTACAGACTACAGGACTGACCAGGCACTTATACCCTGCCGTGCTCTTGTGGTTGCTGTCCCACCTTCAGTGGCTCTCGAGCCTGAGCTGTATGAGAGGCCTTCCTCTGCCATCAGGCTCACAAGCAAGGTGCGTGACAGTATCAGACAGCCATGTCTGAGCCTGCAGGAGGATCCTCTCCCATGGATGAGATTTGCTGGCATCTCGCTGCCCTGGCTCAAGCTGTCATGTTTCTTCAAGAGGGGCACATCCAGTTGGAAGAATGGGTACAATATCTTGCTACATCTGCAAGTCCTGTGACAACATCAGCTTCCTCTTCTGCTACAGCTCCTACAGGATCTGCTTCTGCACCCACTGTAGTGATGCTACTCCCTAAACCCAGGGTCCCCACACCAGAAAGATTTTCGGAAGATCGAAGTAAATTCCGGGCTTTCCAAAATGCATGTCAATTATACTTCTCTCTGCAACCACGAACTTTCTCTCTGGAATCCACCAAAGTCTGGTTTATCATTTCATTACTTCAAGGTGAGCCACAGTCCTGGGCACACTGACTTCTCGAAGAGAACAATTCTCAGCTGCAGACCATGTCTGCTATCTTTGAAGCAAAGGCTCAGTTATATGATGACCCACAGCAGACTGCCACAGCAGAGGCTGCCCTTCATGCGCTCCAGCAAGGCCGCAGAGTGGTCGAGGACTATGTTACGTAATTCAAACACATGCAGCTCTGCGACACCAGTTCTGACTTGGACTTGCTGAAGGGTTAAAAGATGAACTAGCCCAGGTTGTCCATCCAGATAGACCAGCGGCTGCGTGAAAGCAGACTGGAAAGAACTACTCAGCAGTCACGACCTGTATGGATGATGCCCAGGGTGCTTTCTTCTGCTCATTCCATGGCTTCTTACACCATTCCTGCCAATCCTGGGCCTCCAGCATCTGAGACTCCAGAACCCATGCAGCTTGGATAGATGCATCCGTCCTTGTCACCTGAGGAACATCAGCTTCATCGGCAGAACAACCTTGCCTATACTGCCTATACTGCAGAGAAGCTGGCCATTATGTGCGCACATGCCCTGTAAAGATGCGTGTCTCCTGCTAACCTGTCATCATGATCTGCCAGTACCACTTACCTAGCCCTTCCACTCTCATTCCAGCTGCCGGAAGGAGCAATCTCGGTCACCGCCATTATTGACTCTGGTGCATGCAGCTGCTTTATTGACTTGACTTTTGCAGCCCAGAAGCATATACCCTTATGACAAAAGACTCAAGGACTTTCCGTTTACCCGGCAGATGGCTCCTTTATCAAATTGGGATTGGTAACCCAGGAAACACCACCGTTGTCCGTTGTCTCTGCCATTATTGCACCCATCACGCAGCTGACTAAATGGAACATTAGTTTCCACTGGAGCCCTGAGGCACAAACTGCGTTTGGAACCCTAAAGAGATTTTTTACTTCTGCCCCTATTCTCAGTCATCCTGATCCATATTTACCATATATATTGGAAATGGATGCATCAGAAATCGCAGTGGGGGCAGTGGTTTCACAACATCAGGGTCTGAAGGACTTAATACATCCTGTGGCCTTCTTTTCACGCAAACTTTGTCCAGCAGAGAGAAACTATGATGTGGGAGATAGAGAACTGCTTGCCATCAAAGCTGCCTTGGAAGAATGAAGGTACCTCTTGGAAGGAGCGGCACACCATATATTGATCTATACCGATCTTTAGAACCTCGAGTACTTAAGATCTGCTAAGCGCCTGAAGCCACAACAAGCTCGATGTGCACTGTTCTTTTTGAGGTTCACTTTCCATATTACTTACTGACCTGGATCAAAGAGTACTAAACCAGATGCTCTGTCTCGTATGTATGATGATCCCAGAGAACCTTCTGTGCCAGACACCATCCTGCCTGCAGGTAACTTTTTGTTATTACAAATTGACCTTCTTTCACAGATTAAGCAAGCCTCTGTGGGGGTCCCCTACCCTTCTGAAATTACACTGGTTCCTAAAGAAGGTTTTCTGTGGTTGAGGGACAAAATCTTTGTGCCAGAAAGTAACCAAGTGTCTGTTCTGAGGTTTTTTCATGATCACCCCCCTGGCAGGCCACTTTGGTGTCCACAATACTCTCGATTTGGTACGACGTACATTCTAGAGGAATTCTGTAAGAAATAGATAAACTAATATATAATACACCTTCTGCCATGGAAACAGCCCAGGTGTTTGTTAAGGAGGTTGTGAGGCTGCACAGCGTTCCTGCAAACATTATCTATGATCAAGGAGTTCAATTCACTTCTCGCTTTTGGAGGGCATTATGTGAAGTTTTGAATATTGAATTGTCCTTGTCTTCAGCTTACCACCCCCAAACTAACAGGCAAACGGAAAGGACTAATCAGACAATTGAACAATACCTTCAATATTTTATATCCTTTGTCCAGGACAACTGGGTATCATTATTGCTATTGGCAGAATTTGCCTATAATAATGCCACCCATTTAGCCACAGGGCAATCCCCATTTTTTGCCAACTTCGGTTTTCATCCTTCCTTTCTGCCTGACTTTATTTCAGAATCAACAGTTCAACAGGACTGACCGGGCAGTCATACCCCGCCATGCTCTTGTGGTTCCTGTTCCACCTTCAGAGGCTCTCTCAAGCCGGAGCTGTACAAGAGGCCTTTCTCTGCCGTCAGGCTCACAAGCAAGGTACATGACACTTGGGTTCAACAACATTCCCCAGTAATCGACTGGTCTGGCCATTTTTGTTATCCTGGGGGCCCACCTGTCACACCAGATGTTTAGGCAAGGTGATTTCAGTCAAAACCCTTACAGTGGCAACTGCTGCGGTTTCTTCCCTGGTGCCAACACAATACTCTGAATTTCTGGATTCCAAAAGCAAGGCGGACCAACTTCCTCCCCACAGACCCTAAGATTGTGCCATAAACCTAGTCCCAGGTTCCAGCATCCCTAGGGGTTGAGTATATCCCCTCAGTCTCCCCGAGACCAAGGGCATGTCCGAGTACATTGCCAAAAATCTTAAAAAAGATTTATCCTGAAATCCTCCTCTCCCAGCAGAGGGGATAATTCCCTTCCTCCTTGTATTGACTGCTGGGTATAAAATACCATTATGGTTAAAAACAGTTACCCGCTGTCACTTATTAGTGAGTTGTTTGATCAACTTCATGGGGTGCAAGTTTTCACAAAACTCAATTTAAGAGGAGCATACAATTCTAATTCTTATTAAAGAAGGAGATGAGTGGAAGACTGCTTTTAACACCAGGGATGGCCACTATGAATATCGAGTGACGCCATTGAGCTTCTGTAACGCTCCAGCAGTTTTCCAGCAACTTGTCAACAAGATCTCCCATGACCTCCTGTCTGTGTAGTAGTCTATCTGGATGATATTCTTATTTTTTCCCCAGATCACCCTACACACAGACTTCATGTCCATACACCTTTAGGAGAATATGCTTTATGCTAAGGCAGAGGAATGCTGCTTTGAACAATCTCAGGTACCTTTTCTGGGTTACATTGTCTTCAAAGCCGGCCTCTTCATGGACACTGAAAAGGTTACCACTATCTCCAATTGGCCTTGGCCTCACGGTCTGAAGGCTATCCAGTGTTTTCTGGGCTTCACGAACTACTACTTACAATTAATTTGCAACTGTTCTGTTCTGGTTGCACCCATCACAGTCCTTACCCGGAAGGATGCTGATCCCAGGAACTGGTCATCCTGCTCAGTGGAGGCCTTTCATGCCTTTCAAGCAGACTTTCCTCTCTGACCCTGCTCTCTTGAGGCCTGATGTTTCCACACCCTTCTCCATCGAAGTGGATGCCTTCTCTGTAGGAGCTGGGGCCATTATTTTCAATGACCTAGTGGGGCTAAACGTCCATGTGCCTTTTTCTCAAAGAAGTTCTCCACAGCAGAGTGAAATTATTCCATAAGAGATTGCAAATTTATCACTAAAAAATTAGCTCTGGAAGAATGGTGGTACCTTCTGGAGGGTTCACCTTATCGGATCACTATTTAAACAGATCATAAAAATTTGCCGAACCTCCATTCTGCCCTCTGCTTGAATCCCCGACAGGCTAACTGGTCACTGTTCTTTTCATGTTTTGATTTTGTCATCACCTTCAAACCAGGGTAGGCCAACTCCAGAGCAGATATGCTATCATGCTCTTTTGACCCACGGGATTCTGAGACTTTTGGGAAACCAGAGTTTATAATTCCTCCCACCCAAGTCCTTGCTTTCACCTCAGTTCAGGACTCTATCCCACCAGGGAAAACTTTCGTGCCAGCAAATTCTAGTATGAAGCTGTTACATTGGGCTCATGACTCCAAGCTCTTTGGCCATCTGGGTATCCACAGGACCCTATGGTTCCTCTCATCTTTACTAGTGGCCAAACCTTTGCAAGGATGTTAAAGAATCCGTGAAAGCCTGTCTGGTCTGTGCCCATATCAAGTCTCCTAACCAAGCTTCGGATGGACCTCTTCTTCTATTGCCTACCCCCGATGAGCTGTGGTGCCACTACCATCTGCAGCAGAATTGGATTCTAAAATGATTTTTAGACTCTGTGGGATGCCTTTAAGTATAATTTGTGACTGTGGGGTTCAATTTACCTCCAGATTCTGGAGGGCTCTTTGTAAATACTTGGAAGTATCACTGCAGTTTTCTTTGGCCTACCATCCACAGTCCAATGGGCAGTCTGAAAGAACCAACCAGTCCTTGGAGCAGTTCCTTCGGGCCTTTGCCTCAGCCCACCAAGATGATTGGGTTGCCCTTAAGCCTTGGGCAGATTTCGCTCACAATAATCATCTTAATGCCAGCTCCCAGGAATCTCCATTTTTCAAGGAGATCCCTGCCTTGGATTCTTGGATGCAGAGGAGTATGAATCAGATTTGATCCAAACCTTAATTCAGAGGGCAGCCGACGAATACAAAAAATTTGCTAATCGACACTGCTGAAGCGTCCCTCTGCTTCAGCCTGGGGACAGGGTTTGGTTGGCTACTAAGAATATCCATCTAAAGGTTCCTTCCATAAAGTTTGCCCCTCATTATAATTAACCTTTATGTCATCTTTGCTAGAATCAATCTGGTTTGCTATAAACTCCATTTACCCTCTCATCAATTCTTTTCTTGTGCTGCTACTCAAGCCATTGGTTTTGAATAAGTTTTCTCATTCCTCAATGCTGGCAACTCCTCCTACCAATCCTTCTCAAGAATATGGAGTTAATGAAATCTTGGATTCTAAAGTTTCCCATTGTAAACTCCAGTACCTGATTGATTGGAAGGGCTTTGGCCCTGAGGAAAGATCCTGGGTTCCCGCTTCTGATGTTTCTGCTTCTCACCTGGTAAAAAGATTTCACCTTTGTTTTCAGACCCCAGAAACTGGGAAGGGCCATAAAAGGGGGGTAAGGGATAAATCGGTGCACGCCGATCCAGCGCCAGGTTTTACCTTCTGTCCAAGTTGCTTGGTTTCTGCCTGTGAGTTTGTTTCCAAGCAACGTGTCTTCACATAGAAGCCAGAGCCTCGGGTTCCTGTGATGTTCTCTGTCAGTTGAGTATTCTCATATTTTGTGTGTGTTTCATCCTGTCTTTGTTCTCAGTGTTTTCCCCCTGGCTGTGCAGTTGTATTCCCTTTCTCTGTCCCTGGATTCCTTCCTTCCCTGTTGCTGTATGCGTCCTTCTCAGCATTGTTTCTTGTTGTTTGTTTGCTCTGCAGTCCCTTCCCAGCCTGCTGCAGTTGGTTCCTTTGGTTCCTTTTATCCTGTGTGCATTCCATGTGCTTCCAGCATGCTATTTGGTTGCACTGTGTCCGCACGGGTGTGTTAGAGTGCCGCAACAAGGGGGCTGCTACGCAGCACAACATCCACACCTCTAGTGGCTCTTTTAAAGACCAGGTGGCTCCTTAGATCCTGCGACTCTGACACACCAGTTGTGTGCGGTGACACTGCTCCTGCACCTGTTTGGTTGTTTACACTGGCCCACTAGATCTTGAGTTACAGTCCCAGGTGGTCTTACCCTCTGATCATGACAATACTGATGAGGAAAAAATTACTGATTGGTTGCTGCTTTACACTGAATAGAAAGAAAGTGTGTGAAGGGTTATAGTCTGGGGTGGGAAAACTGTAGCACTGATACCGTGGCATGGGTGACTACAGAAGCAGTTGTTAATAAAAGAAAAAAATTAAACAATGTCAGAAAAATTAGATATTGTAAAATGTGTTATAAGAGACAAAATTGTCCTTTTAGTATTCTTTAGAACAATATCTAATTAATGAATTTTACAATGTTGAAAGTAATTTTAAAAAGATTAAGTTTACTACTTTAAATGTTTGCCTGTCCATTTCTGTTGTGATTGACTATATAATGCATAATCACTACTGAACAAGGGCTTCATTTCTGGCAATGAAATGGCTATATAAATATACAGTAAGTCATACTGATAAAGCAGTTTGATCCATGAAACAGCTGTCAATGTCAGTGTGAAGCTGCCCTCATCAACAAGCCTTGCCTCCCTGCAGTTTTTCTTGCCTGGTTAGGCACAATGCTATATTGGTCTGCTTATTTATCTCTTCAAAAGCACTATTTATATAACCAAGTCAGTGCCAGCAACATGAGGAGACCACATCAGCTACCTTGTAACAGTTCAGCATTTTGTTTGCAGGATTGATTTAATATGCAATGAGGAGTTTAGCACCTTCGCATCTGTTTCACCCAACATTCTACAGCAGTGGTAAACACAAAGTCAACAGATTTGACAAGACCCTAGTACTGCTGAACTGCTAAATACATATTTCCTAATAACAAAGTAAGTTATATGAGAGGGTCATGTGGGGGTATAGCTAGAAACGTATAGTAGAACTTCAGCCAAAGCTTATTTTCTAGTTTTGGATTTAGAAGGTTAAGAGCCTTTCTCATTTTTTACAGCTGTCTTTGCCTGCATCATCCTCTTTCTTCCATTTACAGAGACACAACAGAAAGTGAGAGAAGATCTCCTTAAAGTGAGGGACAATTCCACCTTTTTACCATTGTCCCCAAAACAAGCAGCTTCTTTGGGAGTTTCGCTCTACTCCTTTCCCAGTTAAAATCATAATAGTTTAAATTTCTCCTAACTCTCTATTCTGGAGACAACCAACAAGAAATTATTACAATAAATGAGAGTAAATGTGGTCACAGGCAGCAATAAAAACATGACAGAGGTTCAATCCCCCCCTCCCCCAGTTCTATCCAAAAATGTTTTTAGATTTATATTATAGCTAAGACTGTACATACTGTATACAGACAGATCTCTCTGGAACGATGGGCAATTAAACTTTAGTCTCTTTTAAAGCACCCAGTATAAATCACCCAGTTGGTAAATTTGCATACCTGTAGTTAACACTCAAGAGCCTAAACAAAAAGAAGAGGCATACTGAAATTGGTAAGGCATTCGTTTTTATTCCACCTCTAGAATCCTGCTTGTTCATAATTTTTCACCACATTTATGGAAGAAATGTCTAACTACATTTTTGAGCAAATGTAATTTCAGTAGAGAAATTGGCATTTTTAAACCTGAACAAAACTGGAAAACTAAAAATAACTTAGCTATGCAAACATTTTCTTCTCAAAATGCACGTACACCTCATATATAAAGTATCTTAATAAAACACAACACCAAAAAACTTGACATAAAAAAAAAAAAAAAATGTTGCAAATGAAAAATAAGTGAATGACAAAAGCATTGCATATGCTTTTATAACTAGGAGGAAATTGTAGCCGTATTAGTGCATTTGCGATAGAAACAATTGAGTACTGTCTGTGATACTTTTTTTATTTGCACTAACATACAATTTTGAGGACAAGCTTTTGGGGAGTGTCCCGTTCTTCAACGTCCAAGATTTGTATAGTACTGCTTGGACCTTGAAGAAGGGGACACTCCCCGAAAGCTTGTCCTCAAAATTGTATGTTAGTGCAAATAAAAAAAAGTATCACGGACAGTACTCAATTGTTTCTACAGTAACTAGGAGGAAAAAATGGTCAAAAAACAAAAGTTTCTTTTATAGTTACTAGCTTTGAACCCATTTTGTTTCTCATTAAACATTATCTAAGCACTACATGGCCAGATTATAATTTAGTTGTTGCAGGTAATGCTAAGATCATGTCAGGATTGGCATGTTTTTGACAGCAGGCCACTATTATTTGCATTGAATCAAAATATACTAATTGAGAAGTTAAAGTGATTATAAAGGAAAATAAAATAAAAAATATCAAACATCTCTATACTTACCCTCTCTGTGCAATGGAGTTGCACAGATTGGCCCCAATTCTCCTCTTCTGGTGCTCCTAGCTCCTCCTCTCTGTCCAGTGCTCCCATGGGAAAACGCTTCCCGTGCCCCACTGTCTGTGTCAAAAGACACAGCAGCAGGGCCCGAGAGATGCAGCAAGACTCAGCCTGGCCAGTGAGACAAGGAATTGAGTGGAGAGAAGAGCTGCAGATGTGCACAGCACAGGATACAATGAGGGCTCAGGTAAGTAAGGGGGGGGGGGGATAGCCAAAACCAATCTCTAAACTTTTTGTAACCTTAATGCAAGGAATGCATTAATGTAAAAAATGTTTAGTCTTTAGAACCACTAATTGGTCCAACCACAAATAATTGGTGCAGTTGTGTTTCATGTATGGTTAAGACATTTGTAATTGTGGTAGAAACAGGATAAAAAGCACATCAAAGAACCATTTTTTTTTAGCGAGTCCAAAGAAGTTTTGTATTCCCACGAGTTACAATGTTACATCTGGTTTACAGGACTAGTAGAAGGTAGTCATATTTAACTGGACTTGTTCTGTAATGTTGAATATGATTCCCTTAGCAAAGTAGCCTCCTCAGTTCTAACTTAAAAATATTTTTAACATGACATGGTTTTTGTTCTTTCAGTTTGCATACTTTGGTTGAAAATACACTGTAATTTATACCTGGATTCTTTAATGTGATTGTTTTTCTCATAGATCTTGACTGGAGAGGACTGGAACTCTGTGATGTATAATGGAATCATGGCTTATGGTGGCCCATCCTTCCCTGGGATGTCTGTCTGCATTTACTTTATCATCTTATTTGTTTGTGGAAATTGTATCCTTTAGTAATTATATTTTAAAAAACATTGAATATAAATATAATAAATAAAATATATAATGAAAATAAAATATAAAAAAAAGCAAATATAATTATATTATTACACTGCTCAAAACAAATAAAGAAACACTTTTAAAACACATCAGTTCTCAATGGGGAAAAATATCACGCTGGATATCTATACTGTTATGGACTGGGTAATGTGTTAGGAACGTAAGGATGCCCCATCATTTGATGTAAATGAAAATTTTCAACCTACAGAGGACTGAATTCAAAGACATCCCAAAAATCAAAGTGAAAGAATTATTTTGCTAAAATTTAATTGCAACAACTCAAAATTGTAGCTTGCATGGCCCCCACATGCTTGTATGCATACCTGACAATGTCGGGGCATGCTCCTAACGAGATGACGGATGGTGTCCTGGGGTATTTCCTCCCAGATCTGGACCAGGGCATCAATGAGCTCCTCGACAGTCTGCGGTGCAACCTGGCAGCATTGGATGGACCAAAACATGATATCCCAGAGGTGTTCTTTTGGATTTAGGTCAGGCAAGCGTGGGGGTCATTCAATGGTCTGTAGAGATCTGTGTGTCTCTCCATGGATATGCCTCCCCAGACCATCACTGACCCATCACCAAAATGGTCATGCTGAATGATGTTATAGGCAGCATAACATTCTCCAGGGCTTCTCCAGACCCCTTCACATCTGTCACATGTGCTCAGGGTGAACCTGCTCTCATCTGTGAAAAAGCACAGGGCGCCAGTGGCGGACCTGTCAATTCTGGTGTTCAATGGCAAATGCCAATCGTGCTCTATGGTGCCAGGCAGTGAGCACTGGGCCCACTAGAGGACATTGGGCCCTCAGGCCACCCTCATGAAGTCTGTTTCTGATTGTTTGGTCAGAGACATTCACAGCAGTGGCCTGCTGAAGGTCATTTTGTAGGGCTCTGGCAGTGGTCATGCTGTTCCTCCTTGTACAAAGGAACAGATTCTGGTCCTGCTGATGGGTTAATGACCTTCCATGGCCCTATCCAGCTCTCCTAGAGTAACTGCCTGTCTCCTGGAATCTCCTCCATGCTCTTGAGACTGTGCTGGGAGACCCAGCAAAGCTTCTGGCAATGTGCTATTGATGTGTCATCCTGAAGGAGTTGGACTGCCAGTGCAACCCCTGTAGTCCAGGTATTGCCTTATGCTACCAGTAGTGATACTGACCCTAGCCAAATGCAAAACTAGTGAAAAATGGTCATAAAAGATGAGTAGGGTAAAAAAATATATAGAACCATTCCTGTTTTGGGGATTGTCTCATTGTTACTCATCTAGTCCACCTGTTGTTAATTTCATTAACACCAAAGCAGTTGAAACTGATTAGCAACCTCCTCTGCTACTTAAGTGACCAGATCAATATCCCAGGATTTTAATTGACTTGATGCTATACTCTTATTAAAAAGTGTTCCTTTAATTTTTATGTGTTAGAGAAGACACTAGTAGCTTGTGATGAGGCAGAACTTGGTTTACTTGTGTGGCTTAAGTTGCAAACATACAAAACATTTCAGCAAACTGTAACGGCAGACATCTTGGTTATGAAGAGAGAGAGAACCAACAAGTTTTACAGATATGCACAACTGGTAACCTTAGTGTACAGTGCCATCTACTGGTCAAGTGATATTAACACACAATACTGTATATAGTACATGCTGTTGCATCCCCAACACCCCTTCTCAACGGCATGTGCATAATTATATGACATTTAGTCTCTTTTGTAGAAAACAATGACGTTCCCTTGGCAAAGGTTTGGTGAGCGCATCTGCAGTCATCTTCTCTGATGGGCAGTACTGGATGTCGATAACCCCTTGTTCTTGCATGTTTCTGAGCAGATGATATCTTACATCAATGTGCTTGGTTCTTGGGTTAATCTTCTCAGAGTGTGTAAGCTTTATGCATCCCTGATTGTCTTCAAAGATGGGTGTGGCTTGTGACATATTCAGTCCCATGTCTAGCAGAAGTTGACGAATCCAAATGGCTTCTTGACATGCATGTGCTGCTGCTATGTATTCCGCTTCAGTTGAAGAGAATGCAACAGTCACTTGTTTCCGACTAGACCAGTTTATGGTTTCTTGTCCATACTGGAAGATGTAACCACTTGTAGATTTGCGGTCAGTGGTGTCTCCAGCCCAATCAGCGTTCACATATCCAATCAGTTTTGGGTTTGACGATGCTGGAAGTCGCAGCTTCATCCGATTTGTTCCCTTTAGGTACTGCATTACCCTCTTTACTGCATTCCAGTCACGTTGACACGGTGTTGCGACTTTCCTGCAAAGTATTCCCACTGCTACGGCGATGTCTGGTCTTGTCACTGTGGCGATGTATAGCAATTTTCCGATTGCCCTGCGGTAATAATCATTGTTACGTAACAAGTTTTCTATTCCATTGTTTTTTGGATAATCTGGTTCCATTGGTGTTTTTGCTTCCTTTGTATGGGCGGCACAGTGGCTTAGTGATTAGCACGTCTGCCTTGCAGTAAATGGGTCATGGGTTCGATTCCTGACCATGGCACCTCCTGCATGGAGTTTGCATGTTCTCCCTGTGCTTGCGTGGGTTTCCTTTGGGTACTCATGTTTCCTCCCAAACTCCAAAAGACATGCTGGTAGGTGAATTGATTCCTGTTCAAATTGGCCCTAGTATGTGTATGTATGAATGTGAGTTAGGGACCTTAGATTGCACACCCCTTGAGGGTTAGGGACTGATGTGAATGTACAATATATATATGTAAAGTGCTGTGTAAATTGACAGCGCTATATAAGTACCTGAAATAAATAAATCTTGCATGTGAAACTGTTCAAACATTTCTGTAATTTTCTGACTTTGGTTAAGAAGATAGCTTCCATCCTCTTCCCGCTCTATTTGAATTCCTAGGTAGTGAGTAATGTTCCCCACTTCTTTAATTTAAAAATTTTGTTTCAGTTTGTGAACTATTTGGTCATAGTCCCCTTCTTGTTCAAAACACGTCAAGATGTCATCGACGTATATTAGGATGTATGTCCATTTGTTCTCTTGATTCATTGAATACAGACATGGATCTGCTTTACTTTTTGAGAACCCTTCTTTTCTGAGTATTTTGTTCACTTTTTCATTCCATGCTCTTGCCGCTTGCTTTAGCCCATAGATGCTCTTTTGCAGTTTGCATACAAGGTTCTTTTCTTTCTCAAATCCTGGTGGCTGTTCATTGTACAGATCCTCCTTGCTGTCTCCATACAAAAAGGCAGTTTTGACCTCCTAGGTGCTTTACTTGCATTCCCTTTCCGGCAGCAATACTAAGGAGTGTTCTTATGGAGGAATGTTTCACAACTGGAGCAAATGTCTCATCGTAATCTTCTCCAAATTTCTGGGAGTATCCCTTGGCAACTAATCTTGCTTTGTATCTATAGATGTTTTCTTCTGTATCATATTTCACTTTAAAAGTCCATTTGCTTCTGATAGTTTTGCGACCAGGAGGGAGTTCTGTTAGTGACCAAGTTTTATTTTCTTGAAGTGATTTTATTTTTTCTTCAGCTGCTTTTCTCCACTGATCGGCTTTCCTTCTCGGCAAAGTTTCTATGTCTTCCCAGGATGTTGGCTCCTGTGTTTGATGTGTTTTAGCAGCATATGATAACCTGCGGGGTGGTATCCCTTTTGTCATTTGAGAGGATCTTCTGATTTCTTGTTGTTCAGTGGGTTCTATTGGCTCGTTGATTGTAAGTTCCACTTTTTGTTCTGGCTCTTGTCCTGCTTCGCATGGGTCAGTGTCTCTTGCCGATTCAGCGCCTAAATCCTCTCCACATTTTTCAAGAATTGTATTATCTGGTACTTCACTTTCATCAAAATAAACACTGCGGCTTACTGTGACCTTGTTGGTCTTTGGACAAAGGATTCTATATCCCTTACTCTGCTCACTGTAGCCCACCAGAATGCCTTCCATGGCTTTGTTCTCCAACTTGGAGCGTTTCTGACTTGGAATGTGGGCATATACTTTACAGCCAAACACTCTGATGTGTCCTACGTTAGGTTTTGATCCATTCCACATTTCATATGGTGTACTCTCAATAGCTTTTGATGGGAGCCTGTTTTGTAGGTATGTTGCAGTCATTATTGCTTCTCCCCAGTATTTGTTAGGTAAGGCAGCGTCCGAAATCATACATCTGGTCATTTCTACAAGAGTGCGATTCTTTCTTTCCGCTACGCCGTTTTGCTCAGGAGTGTATGGTACAGTTGTTTGCTGTATAATACCTTGTTTCTTTAGGTATGATTCCATCTCTTTATTCATATATTCCCCTCCATTGTCAGTACGTATTATTCCAGGTTTCCTTTGAAACTTGTTGCTTGTCATAGCTACAAACTCTTGAAGTTTTTCTAATGTCTCACTTTTGTGCTTCATTAGATACATTATTGTGTACCTGGAATAATCGTCGATGAAAGTCAGTAAATATCTGTTCCCGCCAGGTGTGATGGTTTTCATTGGTCCTCACACATCACTGTGTATCAGTTCCATGGGTTTAATGGTTTTACTCTGACTGGTCTGTGGAAGAGAGGTTCGGGTGGCCTTTGCTTTGATGCAACACGTGCACTTGCTGTGTGTGGCAAGGCAATATTTTCATGTCTTCTGATAGACCTCTCTTTGCAAAGTCCTTTATAGCTTCTGGGTTTCGATGCCCCAATCTTCTATGCCACAGATGGATGCACTTGCCATGTGGGTTATGAGTTGCCGCATTAGCCTTCTCACTTTCAGTGACGATTTTGTACAGATGTTTATTTAACCTTCCTCTTGCTAGAATTTGCTTTCCATTTTGAATTGTGCATTCAATACCTCTGAACTGGACAGTGAGTCCATTGCTTGCAAGGGTTTTAACTGATAGGAGGCTTCCTTCTAGGCTTGGAACATATAGAAAATTATTTACAAAGATGCTCTGCTTGCCCCCTGATGGCGTTTTGCAGTTCAGAAATCTCTGACCATTACCTTCCACTGTAATACTTTTCCCATTTGCCAGGAAGACTTTATCTTTTACACTAAAATCAACTTCTGTGAAGAATGTCTCGTCACCTGTCATGTGACTTGTTGCCCCTGAATCAATGTACCATCCATGTGAGGTACTATTCTGAGTCATTTTAAAAGTACCACTCCATGATGCACTTTCATTTTCTTTCATGACCGCTTTAGCTTTCTCTCTTGTGGGTAGCTCCCGCTTTCACTGCTCAGCTTTCCAGATTGAACAGTTCTTTTTCAGGTGACCGGCCTTTTTGCAGCGAAAACATACCCTGGTTTCTTTGCTTTGTCTTATGCTTTCATGCACCTTCAGAGCTGCCTCTGGTCTCTCGTTCTCTTCACTATGCAAATTGTCCTTTCTTCTGCTGTATTCATCAATTAATTTTCCCTTAACATATTCTAGTGTCAGTTCAGTTTCCGGTCTAGTTTCTAGAGCATTTATAAGGGCACTGTATGATTCTGGAAGACTGCATAGCAGTAGTGCTATCATGTAGTGCTATTACATGATTGTCTTTCATTTCTTCACCTATTGCACCCAGCTGGTCCAATTTCTAGCATAGCATTTACATGTTCACCCATTTCCTGCCCTTTTTCCAGCCTCATCTTATACAGTTTGCACAGCAGATATAGTTTACTGTTTAGGTTTGCACGTTCATGCAGTTTTTGTAATGCAGTCCACATACCTTTAGCTGTGTTTTCTTTCCTTATATGAATGAGTTGATTGTCCTCCTACTAACAGGCTTATGACTGCTTTTGCTTGCCTGTTTTTTCTGTCCCATTCTTCCGGGTTGTCATTGGGTCTGCGTGTATCTAGTACCTGCCACAAGTCATCTTTGGATAACAGCATTTCAAGCTTAAACTTCCATAGCTAGTAATTGGTATTGTTGAGCTTTGCTATTGTAAACTTCATATCTGAAGCACTTGCCATTTTTCAGTGAATTGGATACAGCTTTTGTTTCCTCACACAGGATTTGGTAGGATTGTAAATGCAGCACTTACTTGCTTGTAGTTTTCCTTTTTCCAGTGTCTGGAGCTGGGCCCATAACCTATTGGTTATGTGTTAGAGAAGACACTAGTAGCTTGTGATGAGGCAGAACTTGGTTTACTTGTGTGGCTTAAGTTGCAAACATACAAAACATTTCAGCAAACTGTAACGGCAGAAATCTTGGTTATGAAGAGAGAGAGAAGAGAGAGAACCAACAAGTTTTACAGATATGCACAACTGGTAACCTTAGTGTACAGTGCCATCTACTGGTCAAGTGATATTAACACACAATACTGTATATAGTACATGCTGTTGCATCCCCATCAGGGGCTAGAATACCTTTTTCTGTTGATGCTTAGCTGGGGTTTCACTTGCTTGCACATATGTTCTGTATTCAGAGTGAGAAATAACAGCGTACAGTGGGACATCAGGTAGTTCACACACCTGAGAGGGTGGAAAATATGTAGGGGCCAGGAGCAAAGAAGCAGTGATGATTCAAGGCAAAGGCCACCGGAAAAGTAAGTATATTGCCTGTTCTTTTCTGAAAGGGTCACTTTAAGCATTTGTTTGTGTATTAAATATGTGTACATAGCATGAGTTGGTGGAATTGTCTCAACACAACAAATTCCAGCTCTAAAATCTGTGATGATAGTCTTTGACATGGTGACTAATATACATTATTATTATTGTCCTGAAGCTTGAGTAAGAAGGGACCGTGAGGCAGAAGAATACATGGCTGAGCTGCAGGTGCACAAATAGGAGGATTATGGTGATACATTAGACTCAGAACAAGTTAAACAAGATTGGGTTTACAGAAACTGCATTCATGGTTTATGGTCTGTACAAAACTCAATATGACTATAACTATAACTCCATAGCCACAATATACAATCTAAATTGGAGGCCCTGCTAGGTGTGTTCCCTCCAACATGAATAGAATTCTGTGAAGATGTCTAGGTGTTTTAGAGTTCATGGGCATGTGCAAAGCACTGATAATAGAATATGTTTGGGTTAAACATAGACTTTATAATAAACAGGATGGAATGATTTTCGATTTTACATACACAATTGTGAAATTTCCCAATTCCCTGTCTAACCAGATTTATTATACCAAGGTGCTTTGCATTTTAAGGTGTGTGATGACATGGCATTGTTTCAATTTACCTTAACCTTATAAACACATAGACATCCTACTGAATGTATTTCTTGCTATTGCCGTTGATAACCTCGCAGAGGCTGAAAACCTCACTTCTGCACAGAAAGCAAAAGCGGAAGAACGAAAACGCAAGAAATTAGCAAGGTCGGAAGGTGTATTTTTTATGTAAACTCTCTCAAGAATTAAACTGTAAGCTGAATTTTTTTTTGTTTAAAAATTTAAGCGAAGTTCAGCTCTGCTGTCACCTGAAAACACAGTGGAGATGATTTATTAAAACTAGAGAGTGCAAAATCTGGTGCAGCTGTGCATATGCCAATCAGCTTCTATCTTCAGCTTGTTCAATTACGCTTTGACAAAAAAAAAACAACTTTGAAACTGATTGGTTTCCTTGCAGAGCTGCACTAGATTTTGCAGTCTCGTTTTAGTAAATCAACCCCTATCTGTTTCACCAAAAATAAAAGTCTTTTTTAGACTAACCTCAAAAAAGGCTGTGGTCATTATGGATGAAAACCTTCAGGCAAGAAACTGTTAAGCACTTGGCATCTACTGTATATGAATGGAATGTCTAAGAGATGGCTCTGAGTTGAAATTTGATCATCAGACATGTATGTGTAACCAGCAGTCAAGTTAGCAGGTGTCAGGAGCATGCACAAATTCAGACATGTTCTGTAGCAGTACTTGTGGTTGTAAGAAACAAGTTGACTCATTCAAAAGAGAGTTCACGCAGTAAGAGTGTATAGTGACCTGCAGCATTGTGCCAGAAATCAGCTTTCCATAGTGTGCTCATTGCCAAAAGATTACTTCATATTACCCCTCCAAACTGTAGTAAGAGATATGGAGCCTGCCATTACTGACCTATTTCTGAAAACGCTAACTGCCTGTAGGTAAATTATATACTGACAATTCAAACAGAGAAGTTTGTTTAGGCAAACAATGACATTGATTTACCAAAGGCAAATTTTTGCTCCACAAGTTGCACTTTGCAAGGAATGTTTCCCCAGAGCTCATTGAATGTAGGAAAGCTCTGCCAACTCCATCATCCAATCATGTGCAACCAAAAATGCTGTTTTTCTTTATTTTCTTTGCACCTGATTGGGTATTCTTTGCAAAGTGAGATTGCACCACATTCACTAAGCTCAGCTGCCAATTGCCTTGCATGGTGTAACTTCCCTTACAACGTAAACAGCCTATTTTCCTTTAATAAATCACCCTCCAAGGGGTTGAATAGGTTACCTTGAAAATAATCCCACTTTCATTTGCTCTAATTTATATTATTAGCCCAATTTAGTAATGCTTTTTTGTAGGTTCTGATGTGTTCCCGTACAGTAATGTTTTGAGGTGTAGGGAACAATGACAAGATCCTAATGAGTCCACATTGCTTTTATGTTATTGCAATGGTATACCCAGCAAATCTTAACACTCAGTGAATATCTGTATATAACATTGTATATATAAATAAGGTGGCAAAAATAAAAAAAGTAAAGGGTTTAATAACTGACAGCAAGTTAAAGATAACAACCCCCCCCCCCCATCCAATCTCCCTCTATGCAGCAAAAGCCTACCTTCCTCTGCTAGCAAAAATCCCATCTCCCTCTGCATGCCCCCCTACCAGAAAAAATCCTTCCCCTAATCAGTGACAATCTACCCCTCTCCTAGCAAGCAAGACCTGAAGCAGCATCCAGAAGGCTTCACGCAGCTTTGTTATATAACACGTCAGAACCAAGAAGGAGCCTAGGAGAACTTTTCTTGATTCAGACAGTGTCACGTTATCTGAGGTCTGACAGAAATGCCAGGCACATTACCACTATGCAAGTGCAACGCAATCCATGGCTTGGCCGGGACCCAGCATAGTGGTAATGTGCAGGGTGGGTGGGGGAACCTAGTGTACACCTCATCTGACTGCACACAGAGCAGACTGCCCCCCTATAGTAACACCACTTTGCTATTGGAATCATCATGATGTTCCTCAGCATTTGGAAGATCCTGAAGTAGAGATGCAGAAATGGAATGGAAATCAAAGCCTGGGATGATTTCAGCCTTTAATGACCAAGTGCAGTTACAAACCTTGCACCCACTATCATTAAATTCCTGCATTTTATGACTTTATAGTGGGGGGATCGACAATCCGTCGATCGCGGTCTACCTGTCGACCGTGGGCAGGTGACAGGTAGACCATGTACAAGTAACTCCCCCCCTTCCCCCAGCCCCCTCCACTGCTGTCATCCTCAGTGCACAGCAGAGAGGGGAAGGCAGCAGGGCTCAAGACGGAGGGCGGGAGGAGGACCTGGCCAAATCAACTTTTCATATTAACCCACAGGTGATTGGTTGCTAGGACTGACACTGTACATTTTTAAGGTAGGCTAAGTTTGTATTTTTACAGTTACATTTGTTTTATTATTTTTTTCTAACTTTTCCTTTCTATTTAGTTAGGCCTTGCTTTTTCTTTTTAATGGTGCTGAGCCCCGTTGATCTTTAATCTCTTTCATGTTGTGCAGGTAGATCTCCACTTCTCAAAGGTTGCCTACCCCTGCTTTATAGGCACTCTTTTATATTTTATGTATTTATTTAAAGAACACCTAAAGCCATGGCTTCTTTGCCATCCCTGTCCCATTAGAGAGAATTATCTTCACTTCCTGTTGGGTAGGTACAATGGGATCTAATAGGAAATCTCTTCAAAATACAAGAAATTCCCTCCTTTATGGTAGTCACTCACTGTAACAAGTGGAAATTTCACCCTTAACTCCTGCTTTGGTGGCAACTCAAAATGTTGAACTTTCCTATCACAATCAGTCCTAGGGAACAACCATCCTCAGGGCACACAAACAGCAATAAAAACTTAGCTTAATAGGGGTTCTAACCCTTCCCTACTCTATCCATGACTAAAAAAAGACATTTTGGCTTTAATTACACTTTAATTTATGTTTACAATATAACCTGAAGTAGTTATTTTTTTCTTTTCAGGGCGAATCCAGATAAATCAGAGGAAGAAAAGCTCCTCTTAGCAAAGAAATTAGAACAAAAAGCCAAAGGGGAAGGCATACCTACTACAGCCAAGGCAAGACACAATTTTAGGACAGATGCCGCTAAAAGGCTAGACAATTGCTTTTAGTTGTCCAATATCATACTGGTATCTAATGAGCCAGTATGGTGTTTTAGAAATTGAATACAAAAAGTGTGAATTTCAAAGGTGCTCACCTTCAGAGGTTTGTTTAATTCACAGTTCTGTTTTTAGCTTTCATGGGGACATCTAGTGGTAGAAATGAGGAAAAGATATTTTTCGATTCAACAATTAAAAATGTATTTGAAGTTTTATGATATTTGACTGCCAAAATACATATTTGATTTATATAAGCAGCTTGCTAATAAGGTTGAATTTGGTGTAGGTTATTGTTAATGTTTGGCTTTCTACTTTATGAGGGGACTTCTGACTCCAATACGTCTGTTAAAAGGCAGATACTTAGTTATCTAACACTGATGTGTAGAAGGAATTGGCTTAGTTTACCAATGCCAGGACAAGGTCCCCAAGTGCCCTAGGTTAAAATGACAACGTACACTTGCCACACAGAGCTGAGACAGATGGTGTTTGTTCATCTTCCTATACAGTGACATAGCCAGCACAGAGTGCAAGACATCTGCTGTTTGCTGACCATAGTTACCACTTTTTGGTCCATGCAAAATAACAAGAATTGTGCCATGGTTGTACCAGTGTAGTTTAGACATATTAGGTAAACTGAAATAGGGCCAGGGCAAGCACCTGAGGTGGAAGCCTCTCCTACCTCTTTGTAGGCTGGGCCCTAATTGCAGCTGCTTGCATGCAGAACAACTGTATGTGTTCTTGTTTAAAGCGTAACCAAAACCTAAAACAATAATGTAATATCTTGTAGCTTACTAGTCCTTAGTTGTTGTGGCTGCATTGTTTTCTTTTTTTCAGGCTAAGTACAAAAAATACCTGCCAATAATGCAGTATCCTTGTTGCTTCCTGTGAGGTGACCTGCATTGCGCTATCAGTTCAGTTCACTTTACCCTGTACCAAAAACTAACCAGCATAGGTGTACTAAATAATTCTGTCGCATATGTAGCGCTACTCTCGTGAGGTTTGCCCAGGTTTCCCCCTTCCTTGCCCCGCAGCCAGGCAGCAGGTATTTTCTACAGCCAGGAACACACACACACACATGCTCATTGTCTTCAATGACCAGTCTAGAGGATGTTTGTTTTGGAGTTTTATTGTATAACTGGGGATAGGGAAGGGGAATTTAGTAGGATACTCCAAAATCAGAACTATCCACACTGAGGACATCTAGCTGATCTCTTAGTTGAGCCCCGTTGAAGTTCAGGTTAAAAGCAGATAGCAAGCTTCCCTTTAGATTGTAGCAGCAAGTAGTTTAGGAGTGAGCAAAGTCCCTTTTTGCAGTACTAGTTACAGGGCTGAGCTCCACAGGTACAAGCCAGTTACAACAGACTACAACAGCCCAAAGATAACATGACTGAGCAAAGTATGCAGTAGCAACAGTTGGACAAACTCTTCAGAACACTAACCAGTGTTTCATTTTCTCAGACCCACGCTGACTATCAAGTACTGAAATTCCTCAATGTCTGTACTAACAAGGCCAAGGACAGAATGGTGGGCTCCTTCCAATCTTCCAAACAAAACCCTCCAGTGATATCAGACAGATCTTTGGCAGACAGCTCTCCTCAGTTAGCTTACTGTACAACCAGGGTCATTCTCTCTAACTTCAGGCCCTCAGGTCAACCCACCTGAGGCCGCATGGCAGGCAGTGCCAGGCAAGGCAAGCCTGCTTCCAGCCTGACTTGGTTCAATCCTCTCCTGGGAAAGACCAAACCCCTGTGCTCACAGAACATAAATACCACTCCCTGCATGTATTCATATTAATGCTGCTCATTTTGCATCATTCCCTCCCAGGTTCCGGAAGGCTCTCATAGTTTCCTGAAGGCAGGCAGAACTCAAGGCAAACTCAGCAGTGCCAGAGCATCATGAGCAGACCCGAATAATCCATCACAGCATTGTGGATAAGCAGAGAGCCCAACTAGATTTTCTCTTGTCAGAGAAACACAATTATACTTATCCTAATTAAACAAATCCTAGCACCTAACCAGGAGGATGCTACACATACTTGGTCTAAACAAAATTGAGTTACAACTGGGAACTAGTAACCAAGAACAGACTAATAAATACTGTATATTGATAGACATTGTTTTTCTATTTGAAAATGACAAATAAGGGCCCCATGTTAACATTTATATCCCCCTTTCTCTCTTCTTACAGTTAAAGATAGATGAATTTGAGTCTAATGTCAATGAAATAAAAGATCCTTATCCCTCTGCAGATTTCCCAGGTAAAACAGAATTTGTTTCTGTATTCTAATACTATACACAAAAAATGTAAAATGTCATCCAAATGAAGAGGCTATACAGTGTACAATCCTTTACACACTTTACTTTATAAAATAGGTATATTATATTGATGTTAAATCAGACAGGGCTTAGCACAGTGGTTGCCAACTTATGAGCTAAAGAAGGCCTCAAACTCAGCCCCTGACATCACCAAAGGGCAGCACATAATGTTCAATATATGTAATGCCTGAGAGGACTGTCAGAAATGGCAGAAATTGCAGACCTAATAGAGAAAATGAGGGTGAGAGAGTGTGAACATGCTACATTTTTGGCTGGGGATATGTTGCAGAAGACAATATGAGCCTAAGAACATGTTATATGAGCCTAGTAGAGTTCTATGCTATATCATCATATCCTATAGTATTATTCCCAGTATGAACTGCTGAGATCCAAGGGCCAAACATCATGCACCAAAGGGACGCATGTGGCCCTCGTGCTGCAGGTTGTGCACCAAGGGCTTAGCACATTTCAGATATAGCTGGTTAGGCATCTATTTATGTTTTTATGATGCAAAAATGTCACTTAAGAGCTACTGTAAGACAAAAAGGCACCTATATGTTGAAAGGAAACAAAAACATTGTCAAGGATATTATACACAACTGGAAACATTTTCCGAACTCTGGAATCAGTGGGAGTGAAGACTGGTTCTAGTTGTTCCATTATAAAGAAATGGTGTGTGCCCACATTCATGCCAGATTCACGCTGTACAGTCCACTGGGGGCCACACATTCCCTGCAGAAATTCTACCAGTGGGTTTGTTACTTCTGCACATGTGAGCAAAAATACCATTCATTCCTATGGAGATGCCATCTATCGTACAGTACATCATGATGGACAACTTCTCTGCAGGAGGATGTAGATGTAAGAGACTAGGTATGAGGAGCTTGGAGTGGTGGTTGCATGACTGCCTTTGGACACACAACATGAATCTATCCGGAGTTTAAATAGGTGGTATAAAATGGTGTCACACCCCTAGCTGTGCTGTATGGCAGAGGTTTATGAACCACATGTGTGGCTAGACAGAATAACAAATGTGGGAAATAAGATAATTCACATACAGTATGTGTATTTCAACATACACTATATTGCCAAATTTATTGGGACACCCCTCCAAATCATTGTATTCAGGTGTTCCAATCACCTCCATGGCCACAGGTGTATAAAAATCAGGCACCTAGGCACCTCTGCCTCTTTGAGGAACGGGGAAGGTGGATTGGAAGCAGTAGGAAGCTTCCGGAGAGGGAGAAATTTTGGACTGCCCGGAAGGAATTTTTGCTTGGTCTGCATTGGAAGAGGGTAATGGTATTTTATATCACAAGAGAGATGGCACTATTTTATTTGGATGCGTGTGTTTTCCTATGAGAGGGTAATGGTATCTAGTACTTTTGGATGGTGACACTGGTTGTGGAGTGTTGCACTTAATCACAATTTTTGGATTTTTGGAGTGTTGATTTGTCACGGGTGGGAGTGTAGGAGGAATCACTTTTAGTTTCTCACGAGTGCGTTTTTTTCTGTTTTAATGATAATGCACTATATTGAGTTTATATTTTTTTGAGGTATCCTGATTTGAGGTTCCTGGATTGAAAATCAGCAAAGTGAAGTAGTCCCCAACGTTTGAAAAAGCACTATATATTGAAAAAGCACTATATATGGACTCATATGTGGACATTTGCTGTTATATGTTGTTGCACTGTTGGGGGTGGTAGAGGGAGTATCGAAAAGATCTAATTTATACCTAGGCACACAAACCACTTGTACAAACATTTGTGAAAGAATGGGTCACTCTCAGGAGCTCATTGAATTCAAACGTGGTACCGTGATAAGTTCCACCTGTGCAATAAGTCCATCTGTGATATTTCCCTGCTACTAAATATTCCACAGTCAACTGTTAGTGGTATTAGCAACTGGGAACAACAGAAACTCAGCCATGAAGTGGTAGGCCACGAAAAATGACAGAGCGAGGTCAGCGCATGCTGGAGCATACAGTGCGCAGAACTGTCGCCAACTGTCTGCGGAGTCAATAGCTAAAGACCTCCAAACTTCATGTGGCCTTCAGATTAGCACAACAACAGAGAGCTTCATTGAATGGGTTTCCATGGCCGAGAAGCTGCATCCAAGCCTTACATCACCAAGTGCAATGCAAAGTGTTGGATGCAGTTGTGTAAAGCACACCACCACTGGACTCTAGAGCAGTGGAGACATGTTTTCTGGAGTGACAAATCATGCTTTTTTGTCTGGCAATTTGATGGATGTGTCTGGGTTTAGCGGTTGCAGGGAGAAGAATACTTGCCTAACTGCATTGTGCCAAGTGTAAAGTTTGGTGTATGGGGGATTATGGTGTGGGGTCGTTTTTCAGGGGTTGGGCTTGGCCTCTTAGTTTCAGTGCAGGGAACTCTTAAGGTGTCAGCATTCCATGACATTTTGGGCAATTTCATGCTCCCAACTTTGTGGGAACAGTTTGGGGATGGCCCCTTTCTATTCCAACATGACTGTGCACCAATGCACATAGCAACGTTCATAAATACATGGATGAGCAAGTTTGGGGTGGAGGAACTGCCTGCACAGTCAACCTGACAGAACATCTTTGGGATGAATTAGAGCAGAGACTGCGAGCCAGACATTTTCGTCTGAAATCAGTGCCTGGCCTCACATATGCTCTTCTGGAAGAATGGTCAAACATTCCCATAGACACACTCCTAAACCTTGTGAACAGCCTTCCCAAAACAGCTGAAGCTGTTATAGCTGCTCAATACTCAATACTCAATATTGAACCCTACAGATTAAGACTGGGATGCCATTAAAGTTCATGTGCATGTAAAGGCAGGCATCCCGATACTTTTGGCAATATAATATATTTGTATTTTAGCTGTTTGGATGGAGATCAAGTTTAATATGAAGGAATTAACACAAAGTTCATTTTTCCTGCAGTTATCTCTCTTTAGTCATCTTGATGTTGCTTTCCACTTCTTTTTTACTTACTTGTGGCTTTCTCATCATCCACATGTTTCTGCATTGTCTGTTAGGTGATGATGAGGAGGAAGAACCAGACATCCCACTAAGTCCTCGCCCTCGTCCTCTTGCAGAGCTACAGTTAAAAGAAAAGGCAGTGCCAATGCCAGAAGCCAGCTCATTCTTCATTTTTAGCCCCACCAACAAGTAAGTCTTGTTATTACACTGGCAAACAAGAAAGTACTGATACTAACTCTAAATACATCTGTAGTGTTCTAGAAAGGCTTGTGGTCAAATGCAGATTGTGGATAATTCAATGCATAAATTATACTTAAAGTGGTTGTAAACCCTTACATATACCCACTAAAGTGACTAGCCACAGGTAATACAGAAAATGAAACAAATCCTCTTACTAAGTTGTATCAGTTTATTTGCAGACCTCTCTACAGCCTTCTAAAACGCACAGATCAAAGGCTATTTCTCAGCTCCAGCAGGCAAGGGGCAGAGATCTAATGTCACAAACTGCACAGTACAGAGATGAGAACTTAGTGTACTCTGAGACCCGAGTAAAGGGAATATGGACACCCCCCACAAACACAGTCTTATGGGTAAACATGCAAAGCTGAGGCTGTCAATTACCTTCTGTGTGCTGGAGAGGGGCAGTACCATCATTCAAGATTCTTGGTGTTGGCATAACCTTGCAGAATTTATTCATGCAGAGGAATGAGAGAGCAGACTGAAATCAAACTTGGTGCTTTGGATTGAGACTAGTACACTATAGAGGGATATGCTGTGTTCATTTTTCATTTCAGCTTTTAAAACCACTTTAATTATTGCAAACAAGATGAAAAATCTTTGATTGTAATCCATGAATATGTATTATTTCATAATTCTTTATCCTTAACTTTTGCAGAATCAGAGTACTGTGCCATCGTATTATCAATGCCACTACTTTCACCAACTTCATCCTGCTGTTTATCTTACTAAGTAGTATCTCTTTGGCTGCTGAGGACCCCATCCAACCTGAATCTTTCCGCAACAAGGTGATGCTACACTCTTGGTAATAGAAAACAGGCAATAGTGGAAAGTAATATTGTAGAAGAAATTATATATACAGTAGTAACAGGAAATTAACACAACATGCTACTAGTCCTAGGCTAGAATGGCGTTTTTAGAATGTACAGTGCAGGACACCATGGTCCTGGGATTTCAGCTTTTCAGTGATTCACTTTTTTGGTTCCCATAGGAAAAAAAGGGCCATCCATAGGAAAAACAAAACTGAAATATACTTAAAGATTTCATGCATTGTTCTATCAATCAAATGCCAAAAAGCCATTCAGTAGATCCAAAATATAATGCTGTTTCAAACATACAAGTTTTTCTCTTAAATATATTTGGAAAGACTTACCTCACTCATTCATATTCAAAGTAGGCTTTCTAAAGTAGAACTCCAGTCTGCAGAAAGCTATATTTTTAAACTGTACTTCCACCTGCCTGCTGTTCACGTTTCTGCCCTTTTTTAACAATTATGTGATACTTTCTATGTTAAAACTAGAGAGTGAAAAAGTAGTCACATAACCATCTTTGCTTCTTTTTATCCTGTACTGCACCTTCTTTGGGAGTTAGGTGGAGTCAGCAAACTGTAGTAAAGGCCACAGCAACAATGACTGACATTTTTCAAACATCATGGCTATCTAAATTATTACACAGAGTTTTGCCTAAATGTAAACTGTACAAGACAACAAACCAAATGCTGTGTGTTACATGTTTTTTCAGTGTAACTTCACACTGCACAGAATATGAGCAGCATATGAGCTGCTGCAGAAGCATTCCTGTCACGTACCTGATTGGAGACTGAAATGACGAGGTCGGCCTCACTTGTGTCACTAGCCCTGACCCCACTGGAAGTGGAACAGAGGGTGTCTAGGGACCAGGGGGACAAGAGCACCAGCAGAT